TGAAAAATAACATTAACATGATCAATGTTAACACAATGCTTCTAATCCATATTAGTTTAGGAACCTGAATACTGGTGATGATAAAATTATGGCCTTCTGGGATGTAGTTTGGTAAATAGCTCACCTCTATGAGGACCTCAAATCTCACTGGAATGCAATGGAATTGCACAAGGTTTCCCTACCAGCTCAGCTATTTGCTGCACTTAGCACAGTAAAACGTTGTAAGGCAAATGTTCACTATTGCTCAGAGTGCATCAAAACACATTGTTTAAACAACATTTAAGTTATCTGAGCAAAGACCATGCAGATTAAATTAATTTAAATGGTGCGGGACATGATTATAATGAAGTACTAAAACTTTGAGAACTATTTTCCTACCAGCAGCAACACAGAGTTGGGGAAAAAAAAATTCAGACCAAAAGTGTAACTCCAATGTACAATTTAATGACTCTAGTCTACAGGAATATTCTAGTAATGGTATGACTAATTACCTTTTGTATACATATATTTCTGTCTTAAATGCAGGAAGATACAAAGCTATACATGCACTTGCACATATGACAAGCCACTGGGTGGTATTACCATTTTCAGAACTGAGGGAATGAGGGGAACATCATAACTAAAGCAGCTGAATGTATTTATGTAATGTCAAAAGCTCCTTACAGTATTTAAATTTCAGGTAATGACTTTAAATAATGAGATTACTACCAAAAATATTACACCCTTTCAAAATATCTGGCTGTAAATAATTATTACCTCTCAGAGGGAAGCCATCATGAATAACAATATCATACTATTGCTGTTTTATATATTTTTAATATAAATATCCTGTACAACTTCTTTATTTCAACCATCACAACACAACTAATATCAAGATCAGTGCCTAGTTTTGGCTCTGCTACATGTTTCGGCTATTAATAGCAATCATCAGGCAAATACATGGTTAACATATATACACCACTGAACCGCAGTACTAGTAAAATTGGATACAATATTATTAATTATTTAAAATACCGGACACAAATATACAATAAATTAGATTATATAAAACAAGAATAAAATTCTTCAATTGATATTTTACATCACTGAGTCAGTCGTTGGTTTTTGTAACTTTGTTGCAGTCCCACGGACAAATTGGAATATTCTATATTTTGTGTATAAATAAAAAATGTATTGGAGGCTCATGATGTAGATGTAGTAATATTAATGTTAATTATTTAGTCGGTGCCTCATCTTACAAAGTATTGTCTGTTCTGTAGGGAATGTATACAACTTTCTTGTCACAATAATCAGACTAAGGAAAAGAGAATTTTATGGAAGGGCCGATGAGAAAAGTAGAAGCATTTTCAAAGCGTCTTTAAATGGTTTTGTGAACCAACTAAAAATGGAAAAGCTGCTTGAAGAGAACTATATACATTTCAGGAGCTTCAGTGATTCAGTATTGAGGGGGTGGGTTTCCCCATGCACCGCAACTGATAGCCTATTGTACATCCCCCTTTTAATTTCTACCATCTCCATCCCCTACCGATACTGGTGCTCGCTATCAGCCCCTTTCTGCCACCGAGGTTTCTACCCTCTACTTGGCAGTGGTATCTAATAGTTAGTCCCTTTCTGTCAGCGAGTTAGTCCCTCCTTTGGCAGTGGTACCTAATACTTTAGCCCCTTTCTGCCAGCAAGGTTTCTACCCTCTACTTGGCAGTGGTATCTAATAATTAGTCCCTTTCTGTCAGCAAGGTCGTCCCTCCTCTGGCAGTGGTACCTAATACTTCCCCATCTATCGGAGGCATTGGAAACTTTTTGGCCTAATTTAGCTCAGAGGCCTCCTAGAGGCATGAGGTTCTTTTACGTGCCGTAAATCTACGACATGGCACCCACGGCTTAAAGTCCCTCCCAGAGGACTTGTTCCCTGAATTTTTCCGCCCTTAAAAATTCCACGACCTCCTCCGGGTTTGAACCCGCGTACCTTAAGTCATGAGGTGGGAACGTTACCCCTAGACTACGGAGGCCGCTTTTCAGGAGCTTACTACATTTGGAACTTGT